AAAGGATTCCAAAATCTTTTTTATGCAATCCGTACTTAATTATTTAAATATAAAACGTATAGAGCTTTAAAATTAAAACGGGCATTTTAAAATTATTTTCACGAAAAATGTTGTAAACTCGTGGAGGCATAGCTAAATCTCGATGAGTTAAATACGTACCTATACCGTTCCGCTGTCTTGTGCTAAGTTTTAAAGTTTATATGTTTTGTCGTAAATAATGTAAATATTTTAATCAAAACAGTAATTCATTTATTACGTACGATGTCTGAAACATAGACGTGCGCAGAGTTCCTGGTCAAGTGCAGCACACATTTTTATCGGTCTTGATACCTTTTATTTTAAGAAGATAACATTTATAGCAAACTCATTATATATTACATTTATTGAGTATACTACTGTATATAGCATGGATCTTCAAACTTTTTAGGCAGAAGACTACATAATTTTTCAAAAATAACTTGCGGGACGTACATGCACATAATAAAATATATTTATACTAATATAATATAAAATATATATAAAAATCGATTGATATTACTGTAATCTATGATTTATATTTTAAACTAAAAATGTAATAATAATACATAATAATAATAATAATAATAATATGTTTATTATAATTGTATTGATATGCATATAAATATGTTAATGTGTCACTTTTATACTTATAATTGTACTCTGCGTTCTTCAAAATTCATTGTTTTGAATTCGTCTATTACTGTTTCAATTTTAATGTTATTTAAATTATTTTGTTCAACAAACAATAGTAATAGTGATTCCAGCCTTTCTTGCCACATTGTATTTCTGAGTTTAGTTTTTACAATCGTTAACTTCGAAAATGCCCTCTCACAACTGCAGCTAGTGACAGGTATAGTAAAAAAATCTATTAAGACTTTTTTAAAATTTGGAAAAATGTCTCCCTTTAAATTTTCTTTTAAAATATCTAGCCAATTATATCCAGATTTTGTTGATGTGTTATTTAGAACACTTGTAATACATTTTAAAAATTTAATATCAGCAATAAATTCTTCATGAGAAATTAAAAAAAAAAATTAAGTAAAAAAAAAAAACTTTTTTCAATAAGCTACAAATATATCCTTTTATAGACTATAACTATATTCTTAAAATCGTTATCCAGGAATGGCAGATGCAGCATAGGCTGCATGTGCTACACCCATACGTACGCCTATGGTCTGAAAATATAAACGATTTAATAATTAGACTTACGGCAAATAGTTTAATCACTGATACATAAGGGATTTATTGTAAACCAATTAGTGTTTGTGTTATACTACTTAATTATTGTTAATTACATGTGCCGAATAAAAATAATCTGCATATGAATAGGTTCTTTTGTTAATTTACAGTAGGCACAAATTTAAAAATAGCGAATTAAAGTTATTAGAAAAAAAAAATCATATTAAATATTAAATATAATACCTGTTTATAAGTTTTTTTCTTTTTTAGCCACCGAAGGTGACAAAATATCTTAAATATCTTAACCTTCAATGATAAAAAAGGCAAATCTGTCATTGTAACCAGCACAGAATTATTAAACAATATTTTCAAATAAATGAGGAAAATAGGTCAATAATACAATACGCTTTAATCATTCAGTTATTGATATTCGATTTGAAAGCGATTAATAAAATAACGATTACTCCCAATTTATCTACCTAATGCAAGACAATAAATCAAAGAAACAATGTTTCTTTTAAACTTTCGTTATAGCATATTTTGTAGATATTTTTTTTTTTTAATATCAACTAAAAAATCAGTTTAAAATAAAAATTATAAATATATCTTATTTATTATCAAAATGACTCATTCATCTCAAAAACTATTTGTTGATGAATGTACAATATCGTTCTTATTTAAAATCTGCACAGACAATATATAAAATATCTAGTTTCATCAGAATTAAATTTTAGGCAATATGGTGGTGCCCTTTAGGGCAGGAGTAACCCATTAAAATTTTTGGAAGACTACAATTTTGAAAATTCTCAGGACCCATCAAAATTCAAAGCAAATATTTTTAACATAAGTATTATATTATAATGCAAAAATTGCTTGGAAAATGATTTTTTTGAAATTTCAGAACGACATTTAAAATTAAACACTTTAAAAAAAGCAGCTATTTTTTGGTGGTAAAACAAATAAACTTACAAGACCCCTGAGTGGTCCGGTAAACTAAAAAAATATAATTTTGTTTACTCAGGCAAAAACAGTCCATTTTAAAATTCAACTTTTCTTTTTTTCTTATCCATAATCAAATAAAAATCAAATAAACACAAATATAAATTAAAACGAAGCAAATAACAACGTATTACAACGGAAATTAAGTCAACGTGGGTCGGTGGAAATTGACGGACTGTCATTAATGTGAAATCAGCACATTCCGTGGAGAATCACACATTCAAACTTTAGGATATACTTACCAATTAGTATAATATCCGTTTCCACTAGTAAAAACTAATGCATTTTACTAACGATTTTTACTTTTTTCCTTGTCTGCGGGCCGGATAAAATTTATTTGCTTGTCGTCATTTGGTAAATATTGACATAGGGTATGCTAACATGTCTCTCAACATTATTTTAAAAATTCACGAGTACCTATAGTACCTACTACTTATAATATCAAGCTATTCGTTAAGAATCATAAAATATGTTATAAATTTGGTTTAAAACTTTTGGTCTATTTTAGGAGTATATTTTAATTTTTTTCCTCGGGATCGGTGCATTAGTATGACGTAATTGACGACATGACATTGTATTTCTTCTTCTTTTTTTTCTTCTTAACTTATCTGTCCATTAAGGACCATTGCTACCTTCAATATTTCTCGCCAACCATCCCTGTTGTAGGCCAGCTCAAAGGTTACATTCTTGTCTATCTCTTTTAAATGTCTGGTAATTACATCAATCCACCGGGTTCTTGCCTTTCCTATGGGCCTTGTTTTGTTCATTTTTTCTACGAGTAAATTTTAAATTTGTTTTCCACCAGTGCTTCAAGTGCATCCAAATCACTCTAGTCATTTATTCCTAATAAATGCTAAGATATATGGTCTGTTGTACAATTTCTGTAGTTCCTCGTTTCTTCTTCTTTTATAGGTATTCGTGTCTTAATTGAATCGGGGCCCATAGATATGTATTTCATTATAATTATATTTAAAAACAATGAATTCATCGTATATTTTGATAATACTATCGGCTATTCAGCTATTGGAAATTATAATAGTAAATATGTATAAGTGCCGGTTATCATGCGTTAATCTCAAAATTATTCGTCGAAATGTATACGTCGCGATCTGCGACAATATCAATCAGACAGATTTTTTCGTCAACTTATTTTAATAATTTTTATTTATATTGTTATACAGCAATAAAAAAGCTATGTATTCCAATTTTTTTATTATTATTTACATCTTCATCTTACCATCATTATCAAAAAAATTGCCATATTTTGATAGTCAGATACTTTCATACATATCAGATACTTTCAACAAAATTGATAGGGACATCACTGGTTATACTACTATATTATACTATCACAAGTAATTTAATCATCATAATTTATTAAATGCATTCCACAATTATTTAATACACGAAACAACTGTCTTAGTGGACATAAAATCATTTCACAAAAAAATGTATTTAGAACCATTGGTCTTAAAAAGCCCACACAAAAACTCATTTGCAAAAAAAAACTAAAATAGAGGCTAGAATATATATTAAGAACTATTACAACTCATTTACTTCATAAGAAACACAATTATAATGAGAAAGACTTTTTGAAATTATAATTAACAATATTATATATGACCCTAATATCAGTGGTGGATCTAGGATTTAATTTTGGGGGGGGGGGGGCATAGTCTAGAACGTGAATTTCAAATTTTTTTAATAATTATCAAATAAAAATACAAACAACAAATTGAAAATAATTTTAAATGTGTATTTTTTTTATTTGTTAAAGATTGTGTTTAAATTATAATAATATCGTAAGAAATTAATAACGATAAAGATAATTGTTATCTCCTAGGATTAGATTTTGAAAAAATATCTAATACTTCTCCAGGTTTTACATAAATTTGTTTATAGATATTAAGCAAAGCAAACCAATTTAAACGATTTTCCCCCATTCTTGTT